CACTTAACCAAAGTCACAAAGAAGATTTCAAAAGCAAATACTGAAAGTTGTAACAGATTACCACTAAAGAAACTTTACAATCTGTTTTCAAAAGCAGATCAATATTTTCAGAAAACTTTGTCCTCTTAATAGAGAGAAAACCGAATTCAGGTTTTGTAACACTTTAATACTAAAATTCATTTACGGGAATTCCCTGGCAGTCCAGTGGTTAGGACTCGGTGCTTCCACTGCCGAGGGCCTGGGTTTGATCCCTAGCCAGGGAACTAAGATCCCACAAACTGCACGGTGTGGCCATAAATAAATAAATAAATACAAAATTCATTTACTTAATTAAATTCAATTTAATCTTAGCCAATCCTGAACATGCACAAAACTTTTTCCTCGGGGTTTCTTTTCCCTTAACAAAAGGTATTTCCATTCTTTATATTGTCTTTTACTGAAAACATACCCTCCATTTTTCTTGCATACTGAAACGTTTATTTTGGTAGCTTTAGTTACATATGCATAATTCTTAACCTTAAAACTTAGTTTCTAGCACAAACTAAGTAGTAAGCAAGTATGAACTTTTACATTAGCATCCCATAGGTTAGCAAACTTATAAATATTGTTTATAGTTTCTAGAAAAAGTTTTTTTTTTTCCACAGAAAATGTCTTAGTGTGGCATCCACCATATTTATTAATAGTCCTAATTACCTTTAGTTTCTCTGTAAAAGGAAGCATATATTCAGTAATTACTGTTCCAGTATCTTATTTGGAAAGGATTTGGATATTCAATGGATTTCTGTAGTTTAACTTAATTTAGCAAAACTCCATGAAGTTTCAAGTTATCAAAATCTGGAGAGACTACTTTAGATAGACATTACCAAAACATAATTTTTCCTAAAAAGTTTGCCTAAAAGTGCTTATCTCATTTACGTCTATTTTATTTACTGAAAAGTTTCATCACATCTAGTTATTTTTCTTGCTGACAAACTTTGTAACAGGAATAATATCTCATTTATTTCATTTCTAGTAAACCTAGGTACAATAAAAATATTACACTTAACGCTGATGACTCTAAAGACATGTCTGTGTTAATTAATGCAACAAGCTTCAGCTAAATTTAGTACCAGATATTAACGCTATACTCAATATTTCCCAGTTCATGCAAATCTGAAAGTCATTGGGGTTAGTTTTCTTCTATTTCTGAGAATCTGTATAAGTGCCTAATTTCCTTTCCTTGTAAGTGTAATTTCCACTTACAAACTAATTTTGGCAATAACACGTTTTCAACACACATATACAGATATATACAAACACACAGACAGACACATACAAACACACAAACAGACACCCCACAGTTTCCATTCCAAAATGTCAGCCATGAATCAGTTACAATAATGTAAAACCCATCCGTTACAAAACAGGTTGGATTCAAATTCCCTGTCTCCCTTTTGTTCTTTCTTTTTATAAGAGTTACCTTTCCTGAAATTTGCATTTTAAAAAGATCCTTTCCTGAAATTTGCATTTTAAAAAGATGGTGGAATTAAGAGTTCCTGGAGGAGACCAGGTAGAATATATGCATATCAAAGGCATAGGAGGAGAAAGGCAAGTTCCCCTAGAAGGATTTTGTTCTCTTAAGGCCAGAATTTTTTTTTTTTCCAATACTTAACAAGCCTCTTAATATAAAGAGGGAAGGTTTTGGGAGTGGTAAAAGGATTGGTGGGTTTTGGATTGTTTCTGGAGCCACACCTCTGGTCCTGTAAAGACTAGATTTGTAAAACAAGGACAGTTCTTAATTCCTAAAGAATTGGGTGGCCACCTCAGTGTTTGATCAAAGGACTGACATACCCATTCACCTATGTTGGAATGTTTTACTTTCCCTCGTTTAGCTTAGGTGAGAAGACACCCCCCCGCCCGCCATATTCCTATCAGGATCCTAATTTCAGCTGTGGTCAGTTGAGTCATACCGGTGGCCTCCCATCTTGGTAATCCATTTACTAACACTTTGGAGCACCCTCCCTGGGTTTTAAGAAATCCTTTAACTGTGGCCAGTCAGTTAGGCCTTTGATCTGAAGAGGCTCACCTACAGCCTCAGGTGGTCCCATTTCTAAAGGTAACCATTTAATGGCATCGACAGAGTGGACAGGCACTTCAGACAGGATTATTAAAATAAGTACTCAAATGAAGGAGGATAGAGGGGAGCAGTAAAGTTTTAGGTACCTTTTAGTTACCTTTTATATCATTGATCTTTCATTAGCCTTCTGCAACAAATCTTTCAATGAGACCTTTTTTTTTGGCCACATCACACAGCTTGTGGGATCCCCGACCAGGGATGACCAGGGATCGAACCCCGGGCCCCTGCAGTGAAAGTGCTGAGTCCTCACCACTGGACCACCAGAGAAGCCTGTCAATGAGGCTATTTTGGAATTTTGAAGACTTTCAAAATTCTAAATATGAATAAAAATAGAAAAATAAGATGAGAGGTCTCTAAGATTTTACAGTTTAGAAGTTTTCCCAATTCAAAAGATCCTAGAAGCTAGCGCTACAAATATTTTCCCCTGCTAACCTAATTTTAAAAAAGAGAAAAACTCTTAACTACTGTTGTTTCCAGTAGACCCTGTGGACAGAGGTCCAGGAGACTGCAGGGTTTTACTGCGCATGAAAAATCAGTTTTGGGGTGCTTAAAGGAACCCATCTTGGGGACTTCCCTGGTGGTCCAGTGGCTAAGACTCTGTGCTCCCATGCACGGGACCCGGGTTTGATCCTTGGTCAGAGAACTAGATCCCACATGCCACAACTAAGAGTCCGCATGCCACAACTAAAAGATCCCACGTGTCGCAACTAACACCCAGTGCAGCCAAATAAATAAATAAATAAATATTTTTTTTAAAAAAACGAAAAGAAGCCTATCTTGGCCATTTCAGGACAGATTTCCTTTAATTCCAATTAAGTAGTTGCAGACATACATAAGCCCAGCTGGTATTCCCATTGGTGGCTGTCTGAACGGGAGCTGTTTGGCCTTTGAGGCACAATTTCCCATTATTAATGTCTAATTCAGCCTAATGTCTAATAGCCTAATTCAGATATGAAATATGATCTAAACAACTTTCTGAGGGCAGTGTGGTGGATTGCATGTGCACTGCGTCTGAGTCTAGCTCCCCAAGGAGTTACCCGTGGGTTACTTCGACTCTTTTACCGGTCTCGGTTTCTCCCTGCGACAGCCTAAAACCATCACAGGTGCTCGGAGTTCTAGGTTATCAGCCTCTGTTGCCCATCCCCCCTCACACCTCCACGAGCAGTATTTACTTAATGGTTATGGTGGGTCTCCCTTTTTCTTAAGAGCTGAATAATTCAGTCTCTCATTTCACTAGCAACAGTTTTGTTCAGACCGTATAGCAACTTTTTTTTTTTCAATTCAAGCCAAATTTATTTATTTTATTTTATTTTTTACTTTTTGGCCTCACCGGGGGCCATGTGGGATCTTAGTTCCCCGACCAGGGATCGAACCCACGCCCCCTTGCAGTGGACGCCAAGGAGTCTTAACCACTGGACTACCAGGGAAGTCTTCCATTCAAGCCAAATATAACAAAAACCCAGCCACCTATGTTTCCCTGGGCCTCTTGCCCAGACCCCCAGGTCCTGCCTAGGGAATACACCAGTGCCCCTTAAAACTCCAAGTCTTAAGTGAAAACAGCTCGAATAAAATTTTCAGGATCATCACTCAAACAACAGGATCCAGCTATCAGGAGAACTCGTCAGAACCCCTGAGAAGAACACCTGAGGAGTACCGAGAAGCTGGGGGGGCCCAGTGGGCCCATGCTGGTACTTAGTGTTGGTTCCGGTAGACTCCAGGTGCCCTCTGGTGGGTGTCTCTCATATCCTGCCGGCTACGCCATGCAAGGCAACGAAAAAGTTAATCGGTCAATCTAAGAAAAAAGTGGAAAACCTTATTCAAGCCAAAGTGAGGATTATAACCCAGGAATGGCTGCTCAGAAAGCTCCGAGACTGTTCCGCCATTAGAGGTCAAACCACAGTTATATAAATTTTTGAGACAGAGGGCTGTACATTAAATGACGTGTTATTGACAGTTTACACAATCCAGGTACAAGGCGAGTAGTGGGTCATGGGTCTTCGTGGCCCCTGACAAGATTAAGAAGGTTACCTCCTAAGCAGGTGTGGTTAATGCAGGTGCACAGCACACACTAAAGGGGAGGGAGGAGGCCCAAACCGGCAGAGAAAATTGTTGTGTTTGAAGTTTCTCGTCTTGTTGTAAAATATGGATTTTGTTTCATCAGTCTGTTTCCCTGCCCCTTCCAGGTCCCAGCCGTCGGTTCAAGCGGGTTGTAGAGACCATCCAGGCTCAGCTGCTGAGCACTCATGACCAGCCCTCCGTGCAGGCCCTGGCAGGTGGGAGACACCTTGGGGCACCCGTGGGACGGAGGGGAGACTCCTGGTGGCCAGGTGCTGCCGGGGGGGGGGGTGTTGCTGGCGAGGCTTCAGCTGTGGGGCAGCAGGGCCCACCTGCTGTCGCCCTTAGGTCCTACCTGCAATGCTGGGAGCAGGTTTCCAGGGAGGCTGGGGCCTGAGCTCCGAGGGAACCAGGCCATCCTGAGCCTGAGAAGGCCTCACCAGGGAGGGGACCGCCAGGGATCCCTAAGGGGATGACCCGTCTCTGTCTCGGAGGTAGCGGAGCTTTCCGCTAACAGAGGCTCCTGAACTGTGTTCTGGAGGAAGGGGGCCGGCCATCCTGGTTTGCTCAGGATGGAGAGGTCCCTGGGATGCAGGAGTTTCAGTGCTAAAACCGGGACAAGCTGGTCATCCTCTCTGCAGATGCTCAGACTCTTCTGACCCCGCTGGGCCTGGCTTTCAAGGACTTGGGCGTCCCCCCGGGCGCGGGCGAGGTCTGTGCTCCAGGGGGAAGGGGCTTCCCTTCACCCACCAGCCCCGGTCTTCGGGAGCAGAATTCCCTATCAACCAGGGATCAGCGAGGCCAGGGTCACAAACAACAAACTCCATAGTTCAAACAACATCAATTTATTATCATACACTCCTGGAGATCAGAGGTCCTGCACAGGCTAAGCAGGCTAACACCAAGGCACCTGGAGGGAGGGCCTCAGTAGTAGGGAGCTGGAGAAACTCTGCCTTCTGTTAGTCTGGTTCCCCAGGGCAACCAGAAGTGAGGAAGGCCCCTGGAACCTCTCCAGATCCGGTTGCCAAGGAAAGCTGGCCTTGACAACCAGAGTTCCTAAAAGGGCATGCATTCATGTAGGACCCACAGACACCCAGGGCCCAAGCCACATGCCTTATAAGGGGAATGGGGTAATGGGGGACCTCTGGGTCTGCCCCAAAGAGGGGGAGCTCCATTGGTTGCTATGGCAACAAGGCCTCCAGCAATCAATGTCTCTTAAGGGGCTGGCCTCTGCTACAGGTACTATTTTGGGCCCTAAAGAAACTACTGCATGACTGCTGGCAACCAGCACTGCCACCGCAGTCTGCTAGTCTGGGGCAGTGAGGCCCCACAGAAAGATAACCGCAGTCATGCAGGCCCAGCTGGGAGAGCCCGAGACCCCCAAACAATCTGCTGTGGGCTCCGCTGGGCCCCATTAACAACCAGTGGAAAGTAATGGGGCCCTTTGGCCATGATCGGGGAACTCAGACGGTGCTGTAACCAGAGTCTCTGAGGATGTCTCCTGAGCTGGGCCAGCCAGGTCTCACTGGGGCATGGCCTGGCTTCCAAAGCCTTAGGTTTGGGGGTGCCTGGGACACGTGCCTTGTTGGTCTAGGGAAGCCAGGCCTAGTTGCTGGCGTGTGTGACCCCTGGCAGCCACCTCCCCTGCTGGAGCACATCCCTGGGCTCGGTACCCCTGGGGTTCCTGAAGCCAGATCGCTTCCTCCCCCACAGACGAGAAGAATGGCACCCAGACCCGGCCTGCCGGGACCCCGCCCCGAAGCCTGCAGCCCCCGCCCGGCCGCCCAGACCCAGAGCTGACCAGCTCTCCCCGCCGAGGCCCCCCTAAGGACAAGAAGCTCCTGGCCACCAACGGGACCCCCCTACCCTGACCCCAGGGGGCCGGGAAAGGAGGGGCGCCCCCTCCACCCCCCTTCCCTGCCCCCCAACTGTGAATCTGTAAATAGGGCCCAAGGAGTACGTAGGGAGGGGGGAGACACAACAAACCCGGCCTTGCCCTGCAGGGATAGGGCTCAGGGGGCCGTGCCCAACGGGGGTGGTTCTGGGAGGACTGGGGGGGAGCTGTTTCTATTTTATTTATTGATTAATTTATTATTTTATTTATTGATCAATCTCTCTGCGGGGTGGGGTGGGGGAGGGATGGGGTCTGGTTGGGGTGGCTTAGCAGATCCGGACGGACAGGGCCATCTGTCCTTGTGTCCCCAACTCCCCCTTCCTGGGCCCCCCTCCCCTGGTCTTCTCCCTTCCCCACGACCTTCTGTACGGATTTGCTCTCTGGAAGGAATTCTGATTTCGCGTGATCCTGCCTGCGTCCGTGTCTCTGATTCCGCCAGCGGCAAAAAAAAAAAAAAAATTAATAATAATAATAATAAATATCCTTGATCAGGGATGGCTGGCTGGCCTTGGCCTCTCGCTTCCTGGGTGGCCTTGGTTGCAGGGGCGGAACCAGATGGCAGGGACAGGAGGTGTGAAGATGCTACGCTGACCAGGTGTTCAGAGCTGGACCTTCAGGGAGATGGGGGAGGCCGGCGGGGGGCTCAGGCTGCCAGGGCCCGGCTGGAGACATAGGGTGCAGCCGTCCAAGCTGGAGAAGTCCACCGCAAAGAGGCCAAAGAGGATGAACAGCAGCATGGCGACGACCCATTCACAGGCGGCAGAGGCTGAGCGTAGTGACCAGGTGTGGAGGACGACCACTGTACACCAGGGTCAAGGGCACAGCGCCACGGGGAGGATCCGCAAGCCCGGCTAGGTTGCTGAGTGACCTTGGGCAGGCTGAGACCATCCATCTCTCGGTACCCTCTAGTGACATGTCCGCCCTGCCCTGGCTGGAATGGCCCCTCTGGCTGGACACCCTCCTTGGCAACGCCCAGACACTCTCAAATGGATGCCCTCCAGTTCCCGCCTCTGTCTCAAGCTGTTTTCTAAATGTTTGCCCTTGCATGTTTCTCCGGTTTGCACTGCATTCCCAATATCCCAGAACAAGGCTCCTATCTTCCTGTCGGCCTTCCCTGACCCCATGAAGGCTCTGCCATCTCCCCACTTGCCAGGGCCAACTGGCCGCCATTGCTTCTACCTCCAAAAATGCAGGGCTTCCTAAAGATGCCTCCACCCCACCCGCCAGCCTCAGGCTGTGCTTGCAACTTTCTCCCCCGACCCAGGGCCCACAGGCCCTTCCTACTCACTCCCAAACAGAATCCCCCTTTCTCCCTAAAAGCTCTTCCTCTTTCTGGGTGCCCTGACCTCCGTAACCACACCGTCCACTCCTGTCCCCTAGCAGACCCGTGGAAATCGCCTTCGTCCCCTCCCTCCTCATCCCCATGGCCAGCTGGACACCCCAAGTCTTGTCCTCTCTTTCTGGCCTGGCATCTCTACTGGTTGGCCCTGTCCCTCCTCCGGCTCCACAGTCCCAGCTCTTTAAAACTCTTCTGTAACCACTGGTCAACACATACTCTGAGCTCCCACCTTGCAGAGATGCCTCTCGTTTTCTGGGAGCACCCCCCTCACTGGAGCACTCCTCATCCCCCCCAGATCAGATTAGACATCATTTCATTCATTCAAAGATTTCTAGACAGTGAATAAGGCCAACACCATCCCCAAGCCCCACCAATCCTAGAACAAAGAAGTGCTTACCCCAGAACTGACTTTGTAACTCCCCCACTCACAAGCTTTCTGTGGCTCCCTATTGCACTTGTACAGAAGCACAAGCCTGTAATCCCTCACTTTAGCGCTGGAGATGCTCATCTCTGGCCCTGCCAGCAGCCTCATCTCCTCCCCTGGGCTGGTTTTCCCACCCTCCGCATGTACCCGCGGTGTCCCTCCCTCCCTCCCCCAACCCAGGTCTCAGACCTCTCTTTGCAGCCTTCCAGCCCTTACGACACTCAGCTGACCATTTTATGGTCCTGTCCCCCACTTTCCGCATCCAAGGGATATCAGAGCCCCACAGAGTGAGAACCCTGTGGCCAAACTGATCAGCACAGGCAGGATTTTGGAAGGGGCCGCCTAGACCTCATGGTTAACTGCACCTGCTGCTGCCCGGGACGGATGCTGGTTCTGCAGCTGCAGAAGGCTGAGCTCGGGAGCCAGCCCTTCCTGTCCATTTCACTGGATTCAATTTGCTGCTCTGGGAAACGAGATCACCACCTCCATTTTGCTGGGAAAATGGATCCAATTTTCCAAAGGGATCCTCTGAATGCAGCCGGCCCAGGGTCTCAGCTGGGTTCCCTCCAGCCTCTTCTGGATGCCAAGGACCTCTGGCCTCCCCTTCCATCATCCCCACAGGGGGCCGCAGTCCCCAAGGCTTAGCATGCAGCCCCTCCTCTCTCTCAGAGCACTCTGCTTCTCAGTAATCCTCATTATTCTGATGAAAGCAACTCCATTCTACAGATAGGGAATCTGAGGCTCAGAGAGTGGTTTGGCTCACCCGGAGGTGTGCTGAGCTAGTGGGTTCTGGGGTGACTCAGAAGTGGGCTGGAATCAAGGCTCCACCCACAGGCATGCTGGTAAATGTGTAACAACTGGCTCTGATTTGTAGCATTTGTCAGTTTCTTGGCCGTTTCAAGCTATTACTAATGTGACATCACTGCACATGGAGCTGGGAAGAGATACACACAGACAGCTCAGGAGACCCTGTACCAGCCACCTCCAGCCTACCACCAGCTCTGCCATTGAACTTCGTGACGGTTCTTGGCCATCTGAATCTCCGTTTCCAGTCTTAGCCAGCACGATGCCCAGCACAGAGCGGTACCCCAAACGGACTGCTGTCATCGGTTTATCGATCTCCCAACATGTATTGGTTGCTCACTATGTGCCAAGCACCATTCTAAGCACCTCACATGTGTCATCTCCTGCATTCCTCACATTCCTTATTATTATCCACATTTGATAGATGAGGAAACTGAGGCACTGAGAAGTTAAGAAACCAGAAGAGTTCCCCCTCCTCCCCCAACTAGTATGTGGAGGCAGCGTGACCCCAGAGCCGGGACTCGGTGACAACACCACTATAATCCTGCACGGAGACCGAGGCTGAGAAAGGAAGGGGCACCCTCCATAGCACACAGCAGACCCACCCCGATGAAGACGTACCCCCATCACCTGTCCCCGGCCCCAGGAAGGATACTGGCCACCGTGAGGATGGTGCAAATGCTGCAGAGGACCAGACGGAGTGGCCCGATCCAGGGAGCCCCAGGCTGGGGCAGGCTCTTCACCCTCCAGAAGACAAGGAGCTGCAGCCAGAAGTAGAATATTCCCACAAAGAAGGCGAGGAAGGCCCCCGTCAGGTGCGTGGCCCGCTGGTTCTTTTCCTGGGAGAGGAAGGGAGCAGAGTTGAGGGGCAGACCTGTGGGAGGGAGAGGGCCACGATGCCGTGCGGGGAGGCACCAGGACCAACTCCACGGACTGTGCTTGAAAGCTGCCATACCCGGCGAATGGCTGATTGATTAGGTGCATTGGCTATTGACAGCTCCATGAGGCCAGGCATTTATTTAAACCTGCTGTTCACTGCTGGGGCCTCCATCCCTAAAACAGGGCCTGGCACATAGTAGGGCCTGGTAAAAAAACATTTTTTAAATTAATTTATTTTATTTATTTATTTTTGGCTGCATTGGGTTTTCGTTGCTGCACACGGGCTTTCTCTAGTTGCAGTGAGCAGGGGCTACTCTTCATGTGGCACGTGGGCTTCTCATTGCGGTGGCTTCTCTTGTGGAGCGCAGGCTCTAGGCGCGCGGGCTTCAGTAGTTGTGGCACGCAGGCTCAGTAGTTGTGGCTCACGGGCTCTAGAGCGCAGGCGCGGGTTGTGGCGCATGGGCTTAGTTGCTCCGCTACATGTGGGATCTTCCTGGACCAGGGCTTGAACCTGTGTCCCCTGCATTGGCAGGCAGATTCTTAACCACTGCGCCACCAGGGAAGCCCAAGCCTTGTAAAATATTAGTGGAATAAATCCTTCGTTCTCAACCTGGGTGGAAGAGAGCAGATTGTTGCCACCAAGGGGGTAAAAATTGGTTCTTGGAGGGTGAAAAAATATTAAATGTTACAATGGTTTCTGGCTTACAGATATAGTATGTATTATATTAAAATGTTTTCATATTAAAAACTCCATGGGGGGGGGGGGGTGGGGTGGGAGGAACTTCCCTGGTGGCGCAGTGGATAAGACTCTGCGCTCCCAATGCAAAGGGCCTGGGTTCAGTTCCTGGTCAGGGAACTAGATCCCACATGCATGCCGCCACAAAGAGTTTGCATGCCACAGCTAAGGAGCCGGCAAGCCACGACTAAGGAGGCCACAGCCCACAACTAAGGAGCCCGCGTGCTGCAACTAAGGAGTCTCCCTGCCGCAACTAAGACCCCACGCAACCAAATAAATAAATATTAGGGAAAAAATAAAATCTTCATGGAGGGAAAGGATGATTAGGAGAAAATGTCTAAAAAAGTCTTCTGGGGACTTCCCTGGCAGTCCATTGGTGAGGACTCCGGGCTTCCACCGCACGGTGCTCGGGTTGGATCCCTGATCCGGAACTAAGATCCCACATGAGGCAGGGAGCAGCGGGAAAAAAAAAAAAAAAAAAAAAGCTTCTGCGGGGGGGATATAATAATTAAAGGAAAAACTTAAAGAAAAAAGGTTAATGAACACAGGAATACATGATAAGTGAATGATTTGCTATGCAAATGTCATGGGGAATTTTTGTTAAGTTGGAGGCAGCCTCTTGTCTAAACACCCTGCGGCTTCCACTGCCTTTTGGCGGGAGAGGTTTGGAATCAGACATCATACTGAAAAACAAATAGATAAAAAATAAAATGATAAAATAAATCAATAAGATTTCTCCTATTACTAATCCATTTATTTATTCTACAAATATCTACTGAGCTTTGTGGCTAAGAATGTGGGCTTCTAGAGTCTACGAATCTGGGTTCATCTCTGACCACCACGAACCGGCTGATGAAGAAATATCTCCGTGGGATTTGACCAAGAAGGACCTCCCTGGAGTTCTTGTGGAGATGGGTTAAAATAACCCGGCACAACGTATAAAGCTAGTGCCTTCTACAGAGAGAACACTCCATCGATAGGGCAAACATTAAGAATAACTGGGGAATTCCCTCGCGGTCCAGTAATTAGGACTCCACGCTTTCACTCCCCAGGGCCCCGGTTCGATCCCTAGTTGGGGAAATAGGATCCAGCCAAGCTGCGCGGTGCGGGGTGGGGGGCGGGAGGGGGACTGAACTGAGAATTTTTTTTTTTTTTTTTTTTTTGCGGTACGCGGGCCTCTCACTGTTGTGGCCTCTCCCGTTGCGGAGCACAGGCTCCCGACGCGCGACGCGCAGGCTCAGCGGCCATGGCTCACGGGCCCAGCCGCTCTGCGGCACGTGGGATCTTGCCGGACCGGGGCACGAACCCGTGTCCCCTGTATCGGTAGGCGGACTCTCAACCACTGCGCCACCAGGGAAGCCCATGAACTGAGAAATTTTATCATTAAATGGGGCTATGGCAGTGAACTACCCCAAACTCCTAGGGGTTAACGGAATGATTACAAAGAGCCTCCCACGAGGCCTCTATCTAGAGACCAGAACGCCCTCCCTCCACGGCCCGAGAGCCACAAGAGAAATACAAGTCCCAGGAGCCCGTGCGGGGACCAGCCCCCCAGACCAGAAGCCTGCGCCCCGGAGATGCTGGGAGTTGTAGTCCCAGACTCGGGCGGGCAAGAACCTGGGCTGGCCTGCTGCGTCTCACCTGAAAATTGCCCACTATGGAGGTGCCCAAGGCGCAGAGGAGCCCCGTCCACAGGATCAGCTGGTTAGGCCACTTTCCGACCCCCCAGTCCCGAAGCTGGTGGTAACGGAGAATGCAGGTCCAGGCGGCTGGGAGGAGAGGGAAGTGGGCGGGAGGCCCGAGTCCCAGACTCCTGGGTAGGGGGTGGGGTGTGGGGTGGAAGAGTCTGTGGGTCCTGGAGTGAGTGCCCAGCTCCTGGATTTGGGGGAGGAGGAGGCTGGGTGCCGGGGCCCTCTTGGCTGGGTGGGGCTAGCACCGAACGAAGTGTGCGCGGGAGTATTTACCCAAAGCAGCTCCCAAGTTGAGCACTTGGCTGAAGATGCAGCTCTGAGGTGGGCTATTTCCACATCGACTGGGGGAGATAAAGGGTCATCCTGTAGCTCCTCAGAACCAGGACCCCGTTCTTTCCTCCCTCCAGACCCCCCCCCACCCCAAGCACCATAACTACCTGATATAGGGGAAGCCTTCAGTGAGGTTCACAGCCTTGTTGGCCACAGCAAGCGAAAAACTGAAGTCGAGGAGACATCAAAGAGAGTACAGGGAGTTCGACGAAACTTTTCTTTCTGTTACGCGCAGAAACCGGACTTCTAGCTCCCCCTTTTTTTTTTTTTTTTTTTTTTGCGGTACGCGGGCCTCTCACTGTTGTGGCCTCTCCCGTTGCGGAGCACAGGCTCCCGACGCGCGACGCGCAGGCTCAGCGGCCATGGCTCACGGGCCCAGCCGCTCTGCGGCACGTGGGATCTTGCCGGACCGGGGCACGAACCCGTGTCCCCTGTATCGGTAGGCGGACTCTCAACCACTGCGCCACCAGGGAAGCCCATGAACTGAGAAATTTTATCATTAAATGGGGCTATGGCAGTGAACTACCCCAAACTCCTAGGGGTTAACGGAATGATTACAAAGAGCCTCCCACGAGGCCTCTATCTAGAGACCAGAACGCCCTCCCTCCACGGCCCGAGAGCCACAAGAGAAATACAAGTCCCAGGAGCCCGTGCGGGGACCAGCCCCCCAGACCAGAAGCCTGCGCCCCGGAGATGCTGGGAGTTGTAGTCCCAGACTCGGGCGGGCAAGAACCTGGGCTGGCCTGCTGCGTCTCACCTGAAAATTGCCCACTATGGAGGTGCCCAAGGCGCAGAGGAGCCCCGTCCACAGGATCAGCTGGTTAGGCCACTTTCCGACCCCCCAGTCCCGAAGCTGGTGGTAACGGAGAATGCAGGTCCAGGCGGCTGGGAGGAGAGGGAAGTGGGCGGGAGGCCCGAGTCCCAGACTCCTGGGTAGGGGGTGGGGTGTGGGGTGGAAGAGTCTGTGGGTCCTGGAGTGAGTGCCCAGCTCCTGGATTTGGGGGAGGAGGAGGCTGGGTGCCGGGGCCCTCTTGGCTGGGTGGGGCTAGCACCGAACGAAGTGTGCGCGGGAGTATTTACCCAAAGCAGCTCCCAAGTTGAGCACTTGGCTGAAGATGCAGCTCTGAGGTGGGCTATTTCCACATCGACTGGGGGAGATAAAGGGTCATCCTGTAGCTCCTCAGAACCAGGACCCCGTTCTTTCCTCCCTCCAGACCCCCCCCCACCCCAAGCACCATAACTACCTGATATAGGGGAAGCCTTCAGTGAGGTTCACAGCCTTGTTGGCCACAGCAAGCGAAAAACTGAAGTCGAGGAGACATCAAAGAGAGTACAGGGAGTTCGACGAAACTTTTCTTTCTGTTACGCGCAGAAACCGGACTTCTAGCTCCCCCTCCCTCAGACCCAGGGGTCCGGGCCCCCAGCCCCTCCCCCCTCAGACCCAGGGGTCCGGGTCCCCAGCCCCTCCCCCCTCAGACCCAGGGGTCCGGGCCCCCAGCCCCTCCCCCCTCAGACCCAGGGGTCCGGGCCCCCAGCCTCTCCTCCCTCAGACCCTGGGGTCCAGGTCCCCAGGTCCTCCTTCCTCAGACCCAGGGGTCCCGGTCCCCAGCCCCTCCCCCCTCTGACCCAGAAGTCCAGGCCCCCAGCCCCTCCCCCCTCAGACCCAGGAGTCCAGGCCCCCAGCCCCTCCTCCCTCAGACCCAGGGGTCCAACCTGCCTCTAACACTCACACGGTCCAGATGCCAGCAGTAGCCCAGAATGCCAGGAAGGCAGGCAGCAGGGACAGGTATCCCCACATGCCGGGGTCTGCAGGGAGAGAGGGGCAGGGACTGAGGTCACGACTTTATCTCTGTCTCGACTTTAAACCATCCCTAAGGGTACAGGTGTGTCATATTGTGGCCACCGCCCCTGAGGCCTCCATTGGCTCCCAGGCATAAGTAATGGGCAAAGGTCCGCTCTAATGAGCCAGCTGTCTGCTTGGGAAACATTCCCTACCTTTTGCATAGTCCTTTGTCCTGATCTCCTAGTTTCTCTTAGCTGTCCTGCTCCCACCCAGATTCTGAGACTCTCCCAGCCCCTCCCTGCACTTCCAGCTTCTGGACTCCCCCGGATGCTCTCCTGTCCGGGCTCTCTCTGCCTCTCTCCACCCGGGGACTGGCGCTGCGTGAGAGGTTTGGGGAACAGGGCTGGGTTGTGGGGTGGGACTGTCGGCGTTCCAGCAGAGCCAAAGACATTGTCAGGCCAAGAATATGACCTCCACACTCTTCAGGACCTCAACCCCAAACTGCCACTTCCGGTCTCAGAACCGAGCAGGCAGCACCTTAGCTTCCAGGGACCCCTAGCTTCCTTCCTCCCACTTTATAGCTTCAATGTTCAAACTCCCAGCCCTTGTCCTCCTCAAGACCCAGAAATCTGAGCCTCTAGCTCTCTCCACCCTTCCTCCTTTGGGGACCCAGAAGTCCAGGCCTCCAGTCCCTTCCAGAACTCATGCAATTGTTTCTAGCCCCTGAGGTCCATCCTCCCAGCTGTTACCTCCTTGGGGACGGATAATCCAGACCTGCAGGTGCCTGCCCTTCTGAGTGTAGTTTCTGTCCTGAGGCAGTCGGGTGTGGGACCCTGGTGACCCTTCCTCCTCCCCCCACTGGCTTTCCCCTCTCCCTTCCTCTCTATCAAGCTGGAGTTCCCCACAGGCCGGGCCTGAGTGGGAAGGGCGATCTTAGTGATGACATCTCCATCGGAGAAACCTCCCTCCCAGAAAGCGACTGCTTCCTCTACCTGGACCGTTTTCTTCTCTCTCCGGCAGAACAAGCCTCAACTTCCTGGCTTCCTCCCCTCTTGGTACTCAGGTGTTTGTGTCCTGGGCCCCCTCCTGCTGCCCCAGGACCCAGGAGTCCAGGCCCCAGCCCCTCCTCCCTCAGACCCGGAAGTTCCAGCCCCTCCTCCCTCAGCTCCCCACCTCTTTTTTTTTTTTATAAATTTATTTCTCTATCTATCTATCTATTTGGCTGCATTGGGTCCTCGTTGCTGTGTGCGGGCTTTCTCTAGTTGCAGTGAGCAGGGGCTACCCTTCATTGCGGAGCACGGGCTCTAGGCGTGCGGGCTTCAGTAGTTGTGGCTTGTGGGCTCTAGAGCTCAGGCTCGGTAGTTGTGGTGCACGGGCTTAGTTGCTCCGCAGCATGTGGGATCTTCCCGGACCAGGGCTCGAACCCGTGTCCCCTGCATTGGCAGGCGGATTCTTAACCAATGCGCCACCAGGGAAGCCCCCTCCTTTTTTGTAATTGAAGTAAAATTCACATAACATAAGATTAACCATTTAATTTTATTATTTTATTTTATTTTATTTATTTTTTGCTGTGCCACGTGGCTTGCGGGATCCTAGTTCCCCAGCCAGGGAGTGAACCCCGGGCCCCTGCAGTGAGAGTGCGAGTCCTAACCACTGGACCACCAGGGAAGTCCCTAACCACTTAAAATTATACAATTCAGGGGCGTTTAACATATTCACAATGTTGTACAACCACCACCTCTATCTAAGTTCCAGAGCTTTTTCATCACCCCAGAAGGAAACCTCGTACCTATTAAGCAGGCACTCCCAATTCCCTCCTCCCCCAGCCCCTGGCCACAACCAAACTGCTCTCTCCATATATAGATTTTCCTATTCTGGACATTTCATATCAATGGAATCATACAATATGTGCCTTTTCATGTCTGGCTTCTCTCACTGAGCATGATGTTTTTGAGGTTCATCCATGTTGTCATAGGCAGTGCTTCCTGCCTTTTCATGACTGAATAATATTCCATCAATGCCAGCTATCTGGGGACTCAAGGGTCTGAGACCCACTTTTCTCCTCCTCTGTGCTGCAGGATTTCCAGTGCCCCAGCAACTAGGACCTTCAGCTCTCAGGTTCCTTGTGAGTTAAAAAAAAAAAAAAAGCAGAGAAACAGACAGACAGACACTATGAATATTTCTTGAAGGAGGAGGCCCAGCGATCAATCAGGAATAAGATCTCTGCCTTCAGTGGGTTCCCAGCCTGGTGGGCAGACACACACGGATCCATAATGAGAAAACAAGATGTTCCAATGAAGGTAGCACAGTGCATGGGGGTCCCCAGAAGAGGAAGTGGCTAAGTAGCAATGGTGGCCAGTGTGCATTTGGTTGTGGGGGACGTTTAGGAAAGTCTGATGAGCCACACTTAGAGGATACATGCAAGCTGCGCAAGGCCTTCTCAGTAGAGTCCAGACGGTTCCTGAAACCAGGCACCTGAGGGTTGAGTGCCTTTGTTTTGTCGACTAAAATAGAAATGCACAACCTGAGAGCTGTGAGTTTCAGTTTTATCTGGGGACATACTGAGGACTGTGGCCCATCAAACAGCCTCTCAGAGAGCTCTGAGGAACTGCTCCGATATCAGCATCTATGTGATTTTGGAGAAGGCGTACATGCCGTCAAGCACACATCTACGTAGAAAGTTGCTGCTACTCACGAGGAACAGATACCTTAGTTAATGACTTTAGTGCTTTTCTAAGTACGAGAAGATGCAAGAAATTGGGTTCATAAAATCTTCTCCTGAAAATATCTAACTCTCTGAAGGCCTGTTCTGCCAGCTTTCCCAGAGCACAGAGTGCCTCATTCCAGATCCCTGCCTTGAACACCCTTCAGGGTGTGTCGAAAGTGAGTAACTCCAGTGACTAATGACTCAATCCTTGTAGAGCCAAGTGGAGAGCGACATTCCTTAGTAGGCAGTCTGCTGGGTTACAGACTGTGGGGTCCACTAGGAGAAATGAGCCGGGACCCAAAGCTCTCAACTGCCATAAAGGGCTTGGATGTTATCTTGAGGGTACTGGGGAGCCATGGAAGGTTCTTGAGCAGAGAAGACTGAGAGGAGCTGATGCTGGTGGTGTGTAGACATGAAAAAGATATAATGATAGTAACTGTTACCCCATCTTACATGTCAGGCACTGCCCTATGTGCTCCACATGGGTTAACTCACTAATTCTCATGACAGCCCTAAGGTGTCATTGCCGTAATTATGGACCAGATTCTCTAATCCTCATGAAAGTAGAATTCCTGGTTTCGTTTTCTTTCTTTCTTTCTTTTTCTTTTCTTTTTTTGGCCCCATGCTTGTAGGGTCTTAGTTCCCCGACCAGGGATCGAACCCGTGCCCTTGGTAGTGGAAGCTCGGAGTCCTAACCACTGGACCACCAGGGAATTCCCAAATTCCTGGTTTCTTGACTCACTCCTACATGCTCCCCACCCCACCCCAACACACACACACACACACACACAGCCCGGCGATCCTGAGGAAAAAGCATCTGGAATAATTCCAAACTTCACACATCTAAGTGATACCCCAGAAGATCCAGAGCTTTCAACTTGGCAAGACTTGAGTTCGAATCCCGCCTCTGCCATTTAAGAGCTGGGTGCCTGTAGAGTGTCCTACAGCTGCTGTAACAAAGTACTATAGACTTAGTGGCTTAAGACTACACAAATTTATTAGCTTCTGTTTCTGGCGGTCAGAAGTCCAAAATGGGTCTTATGTGCTGAAATCAAGGTGTGGGCAGGGCTGCGATCCTTCTGGAGGCTCCATGGGAGAATCCATTTCCTCCTCGTCTTTTCCAGCTTCTAGAGGTGCCTGCATCCCTTGGCTCATGGCCTCTACTTCCCTTTGCATGGTGGGAGGTGCTTCTGTCATCACACCCCCTTCTCTGCTTCTCTGATTCTGATAGTGACCCCTCCTTCATTTGTAAGAGCTCTGCGATTACGTTGGGCGCACCCAGATAATCCAGGAGAATCTCCCCATCTCAAGACCCTTAATTTAATCTGCAAAGTCCCTTTCACCATGTAACTACTGCCAACACATGTCCTGGAGATGAAGATATAGATATCTTGGGCGGGGGTGTTATTCTGCTCCCACAGGGCCCTTGGGTGGGTGGGGGGGTGTCTCAGTTTCCTCAGTCTGTAAAATGGGGCACATCGTACCATTTGGGAGTCTGACTGCCTGGGTTTGGGTCTCCGCCTCTGCCTCTTGCTGGCGGTGTGACCTGCCCCAAGGGCTTCCTCATCTGTGAAATGGAGATAAGAATAACTAGCAGGGGGCTGCAGTGTGGAATTGCGGAGCCAACCCGCCTAAAGCGCTCAGAGCATGTCTGACACGTGTGCGTTTCTTTTTTTTTGGCTGCGCCGTGCGGCTTGTGGGATCTTAGTTCCCCAACCGAGGATTGAATCCGGGCCCTCGGCAGTGAGAGCACAGAGTCCTAATCACTGGACCGCCAGAAAATTCCCTGACACCTGTGTGTTTCCAAGAGGTAGCTGCTGTTCCTGCTGCCTTTATCTGAGTGTTCATGCTCAGAATCGAGTGAAAACAGAGTGCGTGGTCCGCCTTTGATGGGTGCCTGGCACGTGGCTATAGCTCAATGCAGGACGCTTCCTTAGTTTAGCTGCCAGTGGCAGGAGGGGGAATCAGAGTTCCTGGAATTTTGTTTTGTTTTGTTTGCCATTTAGCAGTTATTGACTGAGAACCCACTGTGTGCCAGGCACTGTTCTAGACGCTGGAGATACAGCCGTGAGCAAGCAGACGAAAACTGCCCTGCTGGAGTGGAGCTCTAGCAAGTTCTCACCCCTCTCCCCCAACCCCACCAGTGCCCTCCTTTCGTTTCTTAGAGACCCCTGTCTCAGCCATGGTTCAGCATCTTCCTCCCAAAATCCTTCCTTCCTTCATTCAGTAAACATTTCCCTGAGGTACCTGGGTTCCCAGGACTGCTCTGACCCAGCCGCTGTCCTCGAAGGGGGTCCCTGTGTACAGGGGATGTGTGCCCTAGAGCCCTGAAGGAGCCCAGGGGAGGGAGGGCTGGATGCTACCTGCTGCTCACTCTGCCAGGGAAAGTGTGCCCCCCACCTTGCCCCAGCTGTGCTTATGCCTGTCTGATTCCTGCTCCTCTTTCAAAAGGAAGTAAAGATGCCAACTCCCAGGTGCCCCGAGGCAAGACTTCCCCCTGCCCTGCCCTGGGCCTTGGTACCCACCTTCCTGCATTGGTACAAAGCCTAGGCTTACTGGTGTCCCTCTGGTGGCTGTTTGATATCCTCAGGACATCCCTGAGAGGACTGGGGGAAGGGGGACTCCAGCCTGGTGGGCTACTTTCAATTTGGGAATCAGGCTCCTCCCACTGTCCACTTGCAGGCTGGGGGCCTGGAATCTTCTGGATCCTTCCAGAAACAGGCTGCTATCCTAGCTCGGCTGAGGGGGAGAGGCCGTGGTCTTCCTCAGGGTGAGGTGATATTGCAGTTTCGCTTTTAGGAAACTGCTTCTGCTTGGTGGTAGGAATCATTTTCCCCAGAAAAGGGAACCTGCCCGGGTAGGGGATGAAGGCCTCTAGGGATCTCTGTTTTCTCAGCTGTAAAAGCAAGGATCATGATGGTGCCTGTGTCATGGGGTTCAGGAGTGAGTCCATGCAAGGACTTAAAACAGTGCCTGGCACATAGTGAATGCTGCATAAAGGTAGGTATTCACGTTGTGGGGTCCTCCAGGTTGTGTTCAGAACTTCTGCAGAGCGGGACTTCCCTGGTGGCACAGTGGTTAAGAATCCACCTGCCGATGCAGGGGACATGGGTTTGATCCCTGGTGTGGGAAGATCCCACATGGCGTGGAGCCACTAAGCCCGTGCGCCACAACTACTGAGCCCGCGAGCCACAACTACTGAAGCCTACGCACCGAGAGCCCATGCTCGGCAACAAGAGAAGCCACCGCAATGAGAAGCCCGTGCACCACGTCGAAGCGTAGCCCCTGCTCGCCGCAACTAGAGAAAGCCCGTGCGCAGCAGCAAAGATGCAAAGCAGCCAGAAATAAATAAATAAAAATAAATTTATAAGATAAAAATACAAATAAATAAATAAAATTTTTTTTTTAA